GTGCCTTCCCGGGCCACAGCAGAGAGCTGGACTGGAAGAGGAGCAGCCAGGACTAGAACTGGTGCCCATATGGGATGCCGGCACCGCAGGCAGAGGATTAACCAAGTGAACCATGGTGCCAGCCCCTCCATCTCTGTTTGAAACTCTCAAAATAAATAAAAAGGGGCCAGCGCTGTAGTGCAGTGGGTTAACGTGTTGGCCTGAAGCACCGGCAGTTCTAGTCCCGCTGCTCCACTTCCAATCCAGCTCTCTGCTATGGCCTGGGATAGCAGTAGAAGATGGCCCAAGTCCTTGGGCTCCTGCACCCACGTGGGAAACTGGAGGAGGCTCCTGGCTCCTGGCTTCAGATCCGCTCAGCTCCAGCCATTGCAGCCAGTTGGGGAGTGAACCATCAGATAGAAGACCTCCCTCCCTCCCTCCCTCCCTCTCTGCCTCTCCTCTGTGTAATTCTTTCAAATAAATAAATAAATCTTTAAAAAAAAATTTTAAAAAATTTTTACATTATGCATCCAGTAGAATGAGCAAGATATGTATTTTTTCTTAAATGAATTTTAAAAAGGATATTTGTATTTTTTTGCTTCATATATTCTGAAATTTTTTCATTGTTTCTGATTTTTATTTTAAGATTTATGTATTTATTTGAGAGCCAAAGTTATAGGCAGAAGGCCAGCGCCGCGGCTCCCTAGGCTAATCCTCTGCCTGCAGCGCCAGCATGCCAGATTCTGTCCCGGTTGCTCCTCTTCCAGTCCAGCTCTCTGCTGTGGCCCAGGAAGGCAGTGGAGGATGGCCCAAGTGTTTGGGCCCCACACCCACATGGGAGACCAGGAAGAAGCACCTGGCTCTTGGCTGCGGATCGGCGCAGTGTACTGGCCGTGGCGGCCATTTCGGGGGTGAACCAATGGAAGGAAGACCTTTCTCTGTCTCTGTCTCTGTCTCTCTCTCTCTCTCTCTCTCTCTCACTAACTCTGCTTGTCAAAAATAAAAAAAAAATTTTTTAAATAAAAAAATAAAAATAAAATAATTAGAGACAGAAGCAGAGAGAGAGAGAGAGAGAAATCTTACATCTGCTGTTTTACTCCCCAAATGGCTGCAGCAGTTGGAGCTGGGCTGCTTCAAACCAGGAGCTTCTTCCAGGTCTCCCACGTGGGTATAGAGGCCTAAGGAGTTGGGCCATTTTCTACTGCATTCCCAGGCCATAGTTTACTGGATTGGAAGAGGAGCAACCAGAACTGGAACTGGTGCCCATATGGGATGCTGGCACTTAAGGCCGTGGTTTAACCTGCTACACCACAGTGCCACTGCCTCTGATTTTTTTTTTTATATTTACTTATTTGTTTAAAAGAGCTACAGAGAAAGAGAGGTAGAAAGAGAGAACAAGCGAGATATTCCAGTGGTTTACTCCCCAATTAGCTGCAATGTGTCCAAGGCTGGGCCAGACTGAAGCCAGGAGCCAGGAGCTTCATTCAGGTCTCCCATGTAGATGTAGGGGCCTAACCCCTTGGGCCATCTTCCACTGCTTTCCCAGGCGCATTCGCAGGGAGCTGGAGCAGAAGTGGAGCAGCCAAGACTCAAACCAGTACCCATACTGCATGCCAGTACTGTAGGTCATGGCTTTAGCTGCTACACCACAGTGTTGGACCCATGTTGCTAATTTTTTATAATCAAAATACAAAAAAAATAGTTTAATGGAAAAATGGAGTAAACTAACATTTATGATTTTTTATAAAAATACTAGAAGAAAATGAGTTTAATAGCAAAATGAAATAAACCAATTACAGTATATAAAGTAGATAAATTTTCACTGTGAACAGTTTCTAATAACTACTGGAATATTCTTGAATGTTATTTTTTTACTTTATTGAATTTCCTACTTAGCCAAAAATTTTTTTGGCTTTGCCCTTGTTATCCATGTACTTTATACAAAACATAATTAAATAGTTCTTTGACCTCTTTGATAATCTAGCATCTTATGATCATTTCAGTCTCTTAAAACAGTTTTCTGGTCAGTTTGGCAAACTCTACTGACACCATCTTCATATTGCTGGTCACATCTACACAGGTGTTTGGAGAAAACTGCTATCACTTTTTGCCAGGCCTGTCTGTATCTATCAGGATTTCCCATTCCATTCTGTTTACATATTACAGTTTTATTATTTCTTTTAGAAGCCTATTTCTCATCTCATTATTATTCTCTGCTGATATCATGCCTTGGGTTTTTGGCCTTGTGTGTTATAAGCCCCAATTTAACTTCTCATTACCATATTACTTTCTTCCCAGAGAACAATGTTTCCTCCAGATTATGCTGCCGTAGCTTTCCTCAACAATACTTTTGTTTATACTTTTCTTAAATACAGCATCATCTTTTTCTTTTTGAATCTATAAAGAACTTTACTCAACTTTTATAGCATTTACCACATTATGTCTCTTCTACTAGGTATTCTTACACTGTTTAATACCTTAATTGTAGATTTTAAGCTTTTGAGGTTTATAACTGAGATAATGCATATGATAAGAATTCAAAGGTTAATTGTATTACTAAGGTTACTTAATTGTATAAACATAACATGTTGTAAAACTAAAAGCTTTATTGGCTTGGAAAATGGCTTTGAAATTATATGGAATAAAGCTTGTTTTCTTATAATTTTGTAATTTTATGTTTAAGTCTAATTCTAGTTGGACAAGGAGTCTGATTCCTTAATGCCCAGAGAACTCAGATTTTGCCATAATTTTGTTTAGAGGATGAAGAAATAGACCACATAGCTAAAAAATTACTTACTATGAAAAGAAATACAGAATTATTATGAATGGTATTTTTAAATAGCATAATTATAAATAATTCAGTCTTCATAATAGGTTTGAACATCTGTTGGGTGATGGTTGGAAGAATAATAACCCCCTTAAATTATCACAACAGAAAAGCAAGTAACATTTTGTATGCTTCATTGAGCTTGTATTTGGTTAGTTTTAAAAAATAACAGTTCTTATTTCTATTCTTTTAAAGAACCAACCCAATTAACTATATAGAAATGTATAACCATGTATCTGATTTATAGCATATGAATAGAAAAATATAGTTTTAGGAAGGACCTCATTTTGAGTTTGCTGTTGCCTCTCTTTTTTTATTTTAATATTCATTCTAAAAAGAAAAGTGACCAATTTTTTTGGTAAAATTATTAGAAACAAAATAAAAGATTTATACATTTGGAAGAAGGCCATGATAAGAAAAATAAAAATGTTTCATCTTTTCATAGAATAAACATATAATAAAAAATAACACTTTTCTAATTTTATGTCCAAGTTGAGGTCAGTAGTCATACACATATTTGTAACTTGTTTTTGAAAGTAGAATTTTTAACAGATATTATTTTGATGAAATATATTGCCCACTATTTAATGCATTTAAAAGTTAATACCATTTGTCTGGTATGAATAACTTTTCTTTATTGAAAGTCATTGGATATACTGTTGTATACAGGAAAGATCATTACAAGTGGGCAGCAGTGTTTGTTAATGGTGTGCTCCAATATCAAGAATAGAAATAATGGCAGCTTAAGGGGCAGCATTATAGTATTTGTCATTTATTTCTTATTTTGATTTGTTATTACAGAGGACAAGAAGGCATGAAAGCAGTTTAGGCAAATATATTAGAAATCTGTTTATACTGAGTTCTTTGGCATGCTGATAAACCTGACAATTAAAAAATATTTAAAATACTAAGTGTTTTTTTATAATAGGAAAACTCTAAAAAATAGCCTAATGTTAATAAGATTATAAAACTAGATACTAAAATTTCAATGTATGCTTGGGAGTCCAGGTGTAAAATTCAATTTTTAAATGAAAGTATTAGGAGATACTCTGTACCATGCATTTATCAAATGGAATTTTCTTCATAGTTTCATTCACAAAGTATTAATTTCTTTGTTTCAAAAAATAAATCTTGTCCATGCTATATTTTTGTCAAAGTGAAGCATTTCTTTAATTCCATAAAACAGTATAAAATAAGGCAGAAGGAAACTGTACCTTTGCCAAGACTTGACATCATGTTAACAGCTTCAGAGGTAAATTATTATTAAACTTGCACTGTAACCTCAGTGAATTCAAACTATTGCATGGTGCTCATTTCTCAAAGGATTAGGGGATTTGGTAAACTAGATTGGATGAATCTAATTTATTTATAAAAAAGTGATATATTACTGAATTATTTGACATAATCTTTTACTTAATGACAAATTGTTATTTGATTTAGTGAACACAATGTTATAAAACAATAAAAGTTGTTGAGATAACCAATTAAAATTTTGTGAGTATTTTGCCTATATTAAGTAACTCACTGGTACTTTTATGATATTACCATTCATTGGTAGATTATTACATAATGTATACATTACAAAATATAAGAGAATCCCAGCTCTTCTATAGTTAGGATTTGAAATTTCATGGTTTTTCCAACTTGAATTCAGATTTCCAGGAAAAATACTTTAAAAGTTTAAGTGATGTTGGAATAGAAAAAATGGCAGCATGTATTATTGCTTTAATGATTTTCAGAGTGGAAACAGAACTACTGAATTTTTAAGAACTTGGGAGCTATGATAATAGGAGCCTTGTTGACTTCCTATTACTCTAAAGTTGCTATGTATCTAAAATTAGAAACAGTGACTTTGTGAGACTTCCATAATAAAAATTGAGTCATTTTTCCCTTGATAATCATTGGGACAGTTAAATTGTATTATACAAAAAGGTGAGTTGAATAAAATTAGGAAGTTAATTTTAATGCACCAGTTTTTTCAGTATATTGTATTAATCCAGAATGTTTGACTTGGACTTAAGCTAAGTGAGGAAGGAAGAGAGAGGCTGGTAATTTAGTTTTCTTCCCTCCCTTTATTGTTGGTTCATTTATATACTATAGGCATAGTACCTTTAATCTTAGATGGTCAATCTTCTTTTCATAGCAAACTTGAATTTTAAAGTTTCCTTATCTTGGTGTGCATACACAAGAGAGGTTTGCTATTTGTTTTTTTTTTTTTTCTGGTTCATGAATTTTAACATCCTGATAAATCTTATGATTTTCTACATTCAGAAGAAATGATAAGATTTCATCCATAGTTCATTAGTTTTGATACATCAAATATTATAGCAAGTATACTATACCAGGAAACATAGTGGTCCAAAAAATCCTGCATGGTTTTGAGCCCATAATTTTGTTTTTACATGAAATCCTATCCTAGCTGTCATCATATAAATGTATCTATAGTTTGTTGGTTATAAACAGTACACACACACACACACACACATATATATATATATAAAAGCAAGGATACATGTGCCAGTTACATCTGAAGTTACACACAGTATTAAGGCTATGTATTTATTCTTTAGAAAATCTGACTTACATAAATATCTGATGGACATAATACTGACAAAATATGCACGTGATATTACTTTAACAAACTGCCATGCAACAAATACATTAAGTAATGAAAAAATTGAATATATATGACCTAATCTATTTGACATTCACATTGAAAATTTACAACATAACCAGTACTTAAAATGTTTTGCATTTGGCAGTAATTTCACTTTTTACAATTTAAATTTAAAACTCTTCTGAATGTGAATTTGGTGAGACTTAGTCTTTTCCCTAGTCTGTAACAACCTGAGGTACCAAACATTTCTCTCTTATTTCACTATCTTCAAAGGTAAATTTCTTGTTTCTTTTAGGATCGATCCAAGAGTTGTGTATGACAGCATTATTAGGCATGGGATCAGCTTCCACTATGGAAACAACTCGCTTTTTCATTTTACTTTTCAAGACCTTTTGAAATTTTTGTCTAGTGAACGCATATAATAGAGGGTGAAATATGGTTGTCCCATAAGCCATGACTAGAAAACACAATCTTAATTTTACTAAAAGGTCACTTGGGCCTACACATAAAATGGTGGTATTTAAAACAGAAATTGGTGTCCAGCAGAGAAGAAATGTAGAAATAATCAATAAAGACATTTTGAAGACTCTTTTTTGCCTCTCTCTTCTTTCACGGTGTCGTTTCACAGCTCGCCGAAGGGCAATTATTACAGAAACTGAAGTTCTTACACCAAAGACTACATTTCTCCCACCGCTGCTTTGTGACATGTCTGTAGTCTCATGTTGTGTGGTTAAAGAAATTGTTTTTTTCTTTCTTGTTTTCTTCTTCTGTCCTGTAGAAAATCTTGTGCCTATTCGAATGTTAAGAGCCTGAAGAATTTTGGTATATGTGATTAACATTACTATAACAGTGAAGAAGAATATTGGGATCTGTACTAGTAGATGATAATACATTCCCAGTTCCGTGTAGTATTCATTCGTGCTGACACACAGAAGTGTCTTGTTGGCCCATGTATTTCCACTTTGAAGACTAAAAAAATTTACCTCAATAAAGGGAATCAGGAAAGAGAAAAAAGAAAATATCCAAATTGATATCATCAACATTACAGCTCTGCCCATGGTCAGAATTCGGTTTGCAGGTTTTACAGAAATGTCATATCTGTCCAAAGTGATGGCAAAAACGTTGATTGCTGTTGAGACACTTGCAAAAGATACACAGGCCTCATGGAAACAGCAGATGAGAGCAGTGTTACTCTCCAGTGAAAGCAGAAGGATAACTATAGTTAGAGGAATACATCCCACACAAATTATTACATCAAGTACATGAAGATTCATTGTAATAATGTTACTGACAGAGTTGATTAAGTTGGATTTCATGCAGTAAAGTACCAGTACGGTGAGATTGCTGCCAAGTCCCAAAACAATTTCTAACATAAGAAATCCGGTAAGAGACACTTGAAAGCTTAATGGATATGATAGTGGTTGGTACATATTGGTGTTGATGTCATCAATGTCATCTCGCACTGTAATGTTAGATTCAGACTGCATGTTGATTTCCAGAGTGGGAGAAAAACACATTCTTTTGGAGCAGTTTTTTCCCTAGAAAGTGAAATAGAATAAACTATTTGATATTAGGCAGTTTAAATGACGTATAAAACATGTCTTCTTTCAAATTTTTTTTCTTGTGTACTTGATTTTTAAGTTTATAAGTCATTAATGGAAAAATGTAGATTTAAAAAACATCAGGGTTGCATTGTTTTAATATAAAAGGAAATTGTGTTTTCCTCCTGAAGAAATAGCTATATGGGGATTTTCTCCCATAATGCAAAATTATTTGATATTCTATAAACATTATTTGGGGTTTTCAGGCTTATTGTTTGAGACCGGTATGCAAAACTAAATTTTTGCCCAGTGTCTTAAAACTTCATTTTAAAATAATTGTGTCAATAGGAAATAAACACTATTTTAATGTGCTCTAGATGGTTAGTGTAGATAGAATTTTCCCCATGAGATTTCGAATGAACAGGACAGTGTTTCTTTCAGAATGACGAAGGGTACAGAGCACTCACTTTTTAAAACTATTTTATCCATGTTGATTCATTTCACACTGATGTGTTTAGGGATATTTGGAATTATTCCCTTTATTTTCTACAGAAATAAACAAATGATAAGTATTTCATATATTGTGATGAAAATGCTCACTGAACTTTACTATTGGCAAATACAAAATGGGAAGAGAAGGGACATTATGATAAAGTAAAAAGCCACAAAGCTTGGTAAAAGAGCTCTCATCATTGCTGTGATTGATTGATTGATTTTGTAATCACACCCTCTTGTGGAGGGAGAAAATTGAAATTTAATATCATATTAACAAATAGCCATTTTTTTGAAGAGGCTTGAAATTATCAGCTGACTTTATTTGCTTAAACAAAATTTTTCAAATAAAAAAAGTAGGGAAAAAAGAGTATGTGAAGCCCATTTTTTGAGGAACCTTTTAAGGTACACATAACTTGTAAAACCATCATATACATCACCCAGTGAATAATTTTAAAGAAAATTAAAATGCTCTTTTGCTAATTCATGAAAATCTATATTTTAATACAAAGGACTTTAGAATAAATAGTAAAAAATATCTAATTTTCTGGCTAAATTGTCAGTAATCTGAATATTCAGATTAAGATATGAAATCATACAAAAATTATATTTCACATTTCAGGTACAGCATTTCAATTGCAAAGCCATATTCAAACATAAATTATAAAATCCATGTTAATCTTTCACTTGATATTTCCTTTGACAAGTTTTAATACAGTTTTATTTAGACATGTTATTTTGGTGATAATACTTCAGAAACACAAATGATAACATTAAATTTCTTTTGAGCTGGTGTGAGGTCTTACTAGAGGCATATTTATTCAAGTAAGTGAAGGTCTTAGCTAACACTGGAATCTTATAAAAATGGAAAATTTGAAGTGTGCCAAGTTTTCTGAACGGACAGATTAAACATCAGGTCTTTGTCACATCACTTAGCTTTATAATTACATAAAGTGGAAATGTCAACTTAGATGATAATTAAGAACAATGCATTTCCTTGTGGAGCAAGATTCTTTTCTTTTGGAAAGGTTAAGCAGTGTGGTGGGGTGCATGCATCTTCTGACCTACCTGTTTGCTGTTGCCTCATGGGCCTTTTGGCTCACTATGACAGTTTTTCAGAAATTGATACATGATGTCATTGACATATTTTGATAAGATTTTTTACCTGACAACAAGGAAGTAGCTGTGTTTTATTTCATACTTGTAGGAATTCTCTCATTTTTCTCTCCAGTACTTCAGCTGCATGAATTGAGATTTAGTTGGCTGTTGGATTTCTAAAGAACAGTACATAATATTTGTGTTTGCTTTGCCTTAAAAAGTCGTGACCAGTAGAAACTTCCTTAGATGATAGGAATTACTTTTCCCTTTGAGGGAATATATGGTATTGTCTCTGTTTTCCAGAATATGTGAAAACAAAAAAGGAAACACAAGCTTTCTAGCTTCTAAAATGTATTTAGACATCCTTTTGTTACAATTGTAAATCTGTTCCTACAGCCGTCCTCATTATTTTGCAATGATTTCTTGATCACATAACTTGCTTTATATTATAAATCCAGTCCATGTTCTTGTGATAAAAACCATCTGCTATTTAATTTGGTTTGTTTTCATTAGAAGAGGATACATAATTGGTCGTAAAACTCAGATGGAAAAATCCATTAGTCACATCAATGGAAATGAATTTCTGAAGAGTTAGTGCAGAAAGCCCTTGCTAAAGCTTCATTTTGCTTCTCAGTAAAGTGTGTCATTCTCCTTTTTGGAAATTGAGGTTTCTTCAAGAATTGCTAGCTTTCACAGTTGTGGTATGCGAAAGGATAAACTCTCCCTTTAAAAATGCTCACCATTTTGTTTTCAGGCTTTCACAGTGATGTCTTTTCCTTTTTGTGATTATTCTGTGTAGCATTTCTTAGGATACTGGTGATCTGTTATATTCCAGCAGTAATGTAGATGCATTTTCTGGTTTAACCCCTTGATGTCTTAAAATCATATGTTACAAGAATATCTTGTAGTCTGTGGCTACCATCGGCCAGGAGAAGCTCAGTTGCTTTCTTCATGTTGTCAGTTGTAAATAGTGAATTAGCCCGCGTGGGCCCTGGTGAAGAAGAAGAAAAAGATTAAGAAATAGGGTTTTTCGTAATTTCCAGTTAATTGAAAGTTACTTTAGTTTTGTTTATCAAAGTATTAGTGAAGTATATTGTTAGTCACAGCTGTATTCATAAAATTGTTTGTTTAAATATTCCCTTTTCTTACAAAGATTATGTTTATTTTATTTAGCAATGGAGTTAAGAATTTAGATATAACAGTGAGAGTAAAGCTGTATTGTTGGAAACTAATTTCTGCTCTCATTTTAGGAGCTAACCTGTATTTTTGGACTTTATAAACAGTTAACATACACTAACCATACAGTCATTCCCTCTTGTCTTTGTAATAAATTTAACATCTGCTGCTAAAATATTATAGCTTGCTTAATTAGCACAGAATTTGAATTTTAACATATAAGACAGATTACAGGATAAGATGCTACAAATTCCCATCAATGAATTGCTCATGTGGTTTGAAATGTAAGAGGTAATAAAAGAAAAAGTAATGGCAAATTAAATAATTTTCAATGACTATTCCCAATAATAATAAACTTAGAATGAAATTGCATAACAGATAAAACAAACTGGTAAACCTGGTTTTTTGAAGAAATATAAGCATTTTTTGAACACTTGAGAAAAACCATACTGATCACATTAAGAATATTTAGGATGTCTGAAGTGTCTTTAAAGCTGATGTCTTCATTTGAATTAACAAAGAATATTCTTTGTATTTAACATTGCATCTTGAAAAATTACATTTAAAGCATGTCATGTCTTAACAGGAATTGATTTAAGAAATACATGTTTAGTTATAAATAAGTAGACTTAAACAAATAAACTCTTAGAATTTAACCTGAAATTTTTCAAAGTAATTTTACCCCACTATGCCGGTTCAAAAGCAGCTGCATACTATAATAAGGAACACATCTTACCTCTGCTAAAGATTTGATAAATTCTTGATGTAGTTGAAGCATTTCCAGTTTTGGTTGATTCATTTTGCACACTTGCTAGTAGAGAACTGGGGAAAGAGGGTCATAAACATCTCTTCAGAAATGACCTTAATGAAAATATGTGTCTGTGCTGTGCCATTGTTTCAGCAGTGCTCCTAATGTATGGAACATGTAGTGCTGCTTAGAGGCTGCTGCAGTCTCTCACTCTTCCTACTGTGCAATCAATAGGCATCTGAAAATACATAATGAAAGTAATTTAACATACTGAAGGCTGCTTCTCTCCAGAGACAACATTTAGATTCAGTCTTCCTCAAAAGGAACGGCACTGCTTTTCGGAGGAAAGCCTGTGCTGAGCAGCTTTTGCAGAATGACAGCCTACCTTGTCGCTTCTCTCCACTGCAGAGAGATGCAGTGCATTCACTAATTTTGATTGGTCAGTTGTATTGGGCTTAAACTGTGCTTCGTATGTATAGCAGGGATTCCCACCCCCCCACTGTTTTATATAAGGATGCTTTTTAAAAAGACTAAATTTATAAGTGGTTATATGTTATTCGGAAATAGAAAACTAGTGAATTAGTCCTTTAAAAATGTGTATTCTAATTTGGTTTGTTGGTCACTTATGCCAGGCATTATAAACTGCAGGGAGGTGTGGGGAACAGGAGAGATTTACATAGTAAAAAGTATTTGTGGATATTCTTTCTGAGGCCTTGATAATTTCATGCATGTATATGTTTTGTTGTTGATGTTGTTGAGATTCTTTGTTCTACAAATAGAAATACACTGCATCTTTACTGTGGACTACATTGAATTTCAACTAGTTTATTTGTATTCAAGTCGTCTTCTCTTTGTATTTCAAATACTTCTGAACATCCTAAGGAGTTAAACATTGTCATGACTTCATTATTCATTCATTCATGCGAGTATTCATTCATTCAGAATATTAATCAGATTGATCTAAGGTGATTATACCATAAAATAATTTCTGAAAACTTCTTTGCTTTCAGTAGCATAGTCTCAGTGTATGAAACTTAATCATTTGCATTACTTTTATTGAGTACTTTTCAGTCTACCTTTAGTAACTCTTTCATTTGGGAGATGTATGCTAATTACTTGCAGTAATATTTTATTTCAATTAGCTGTTTTTGAGTGTGGTACTTTTTTTAGTGGATTTTTATTAAATCCATATAGTTGTGTACTAATATTGTTGGTATATGTATTGATAAAGGAAAAAGTTAGGTCCATGTCTTCATACATTATAAGGTTAAAGTATTATAAGATATGCTGTGAAAATAATAAAAACAGTAGTGTAAGTAATGAACCCAAAATATTAATTTAAAATTAAATTAAATTTTAGTTTCCAATAAGTATTTTTAGACGAGTATGTAAAATGGCTTGTTTCATTTCCTGTTGGCATGTTAATCATGACATGTTTTCATTATCTTAGGAATATTAGTGACCTTCATGTTTCAAAACAATGTATGCTAAGCTTTTATTTGCATTTGGAATTATTCTCATAAGCTTTAAAGGCAATATGCAATTTTATAATCTTCCATTGGTAGCATGCAAGCTTTAGTTGGGGAGAATGGCTGACTAGTATGTGGGTTTTAAATTATGTTTCTATAGAAGTTGAGAATAATATGATAGATAAGTGTGTTGTGAATTAATAAAATTTTCTGCACTGCTTTGTATGACCAGGCTTTGGTAATACTCAAAATGAAAATGTTTTTGTTATTATTTGTACATTTTGAAAGTTGGGGAGGAGGATCTTGGTAGATGCCAGCCATGTTAAAAGATAGCTAATATACACATACACCGTTATTTTAAGCTTCAAAGTAAAGCCAAAGAAAATATGTTAGTCTGTTGAAACCTGTGGTATGGTTTAGGAAATTGTTAACATAGTGGTTGGAAATATATATATATATATATATATAGTGCTATGTAAAGTGTTTTTCTGTCACAGAAAGTATTTACTTAACGCTTATTGTCAAAATGTCACCATAAAGTAGAAGATACCAAGGCAAAGAGGAATCTACTGACCTGAAAAAGTCTGTATGAGTTAGCCTCAGACTCAGTGTTAGAGCTCTGCAAACCCTACCCTCCTAGGTAGTTGAACTTTTTGGAAAATTACAAAGATTCTTGGGATTTAGAATTGGATGATCTTGATTCAGTTGAAGCTTACTATCTATATAATGTTTGGCAAGTCAGGCTTCCTTTGGGTCTCAGTGTAGCTTTAATTCTCTCTGTTCAAGTAGATTACTATATTTTTAACTCTTTGTGAAGTAATATTTCCAAGTTATATACAGCTTATTTTGAATAAACAAAATCTGGAATCTCTGTAGGCAGTAATAGTTGCAAAAAACTGAACTCTGAACATTGCTGTGTATTCTGCGTACAAGTATGCAATGCTTAGTATAATTTTTATTTCTTTTTAAAACCCACAAATTTGTTTGGTAATTACCAAATACTCTGAACTCTTCACTGGGTAATCCTAACAAACCCTGTTTTGAATAAATATGCTAATATTTAAACCACTGGATTGAGATTAGATTATATTCTTTCATGAAAAAAATTAGTATCAAATTACAAGTCTGAATATGCAGATTCTTTTTTCTATTGTAACAGATTTTTACACTCATGCGTTTAATATATTTTATATTCATGTAGGATACTAATATTGAAAAGTGATAAAACCGGTGATTTAAAATCAAACTTTGTTATGAAGTTTTATAGGTTCACTTTTTACTTAATAAATTGGGAGAGCAGTTTGGCTTCCTAATGTTACCCAACCTATATAGATAGGAATCTAACCCTCAGATACAGCTCAATTAAAATTCCTTAAAAAAAAAAAAATCCTTTTTAAAAGTAGCGTCTTGGGCCAGAGTTGTGGTACATTAGGTTAAACTGCTTCCTGTGATGCTGGCATCCCATTTGGGCCCCAGTTCACATCATAGCTGCTCCACTTCTGATCCAGTTCCCTGCTGATGTATCCTGGAAAGCAGGGGAAGATGGCCCAACCTAGCCCTAGCCATTATGGTCATTTAGATAGTGAACCAGTGGATGTAAGATTTCTCTCTCTCTCTCTCGTTCTCTCGCTCTTTCTGTTTTTACTTCTTTCTCTCTAGCTTTTTCAAATAAAATAATCTTTTAAAAATTGTCTTTTTAGTTATAGTAATTTAATCCCATGTCTGTTTTAATGCTAAAATTTCCTAATATGAAATCTTTGATTTTTAATTTTATATGTTTAAGTTTTGAGAGCTGTTACTATGATAGAGTAATTTATTGTTAGATTTACATTGTATTTTTCATACTAAACCACTCTTACCGATCTGTTTTTTCTCATGTTAAATTTTTTCATGATTCTGAGTTGTCAGTAAAACACTCAAATTTATGAAATATTGGAATTAACCATAACTGAAAGTGCTTTGAAATTATTTGCAAAGTAGATATTCAAAAGCAGATTGTAATGGCTGGAAATCACTTTTTAAACTGTATTGTTTCATGAGTGCTGTTTCAGTAACACTTAACACAGTTAACTCTGAACTCTCTGAAATTGAAGCCTGGGAAAAAAGGATTATTTCAGTTTAAAGCAATTCAAAAATTTTGGCTCCTCAACTTTAAATTTCTTTCACAACAAATGTTTTATCAGAAAAATAGAAATGGGCCATCTGCTAAAACTTTCATCTAGTGGAGAGTAGCCAAGGCAGTGGAGAGTCAACAACATTGGTGATTCATTATCTATGAGAGAATAATTGAAAGCTGATTATATTGGATAAAGTACATGCATCAGAATTGCATACTGTGAATAGAAAATTTCACAACCTATTCTTTTACATCCTTCCCTACATCACCTAAGTTGAGTAGTTAAAATTTACATTTTATATTTTTATCCTATTTGTTTGTAAGTTGCTTGGAAATTGTTTATACATTATAAAAATAAATATATGGAATTTCTTTCCATCTTCTTATCCCACACCTAGACTTTGGACAGTGGAATTATTAATTCCATTTAACCACCTTCCCTTAAGTAGTGCTGTTGCCATGCCTACTGTGGGGCCTTGTTCAAATTACTACCCCTACACTGAGTGTTCTGTATTGACTGCTTTGGGTCTCTCTTTTCATCCTTAAATATTATGGGTTTTGTTGCTGTTTTTCTCTTTTAGTCAAAGAATTATGCAAAATGGCCATGTTTGTGCTTTTCCCCTTCGCATTGGTTTATCTTTTCTATTGGTGATATTTTCTGTTAGCATCTGGGAAACAGTAGCAGATTAGCTTCAGAATTTGTAAGTAGGGTAACATCACCAGCCCTTAACAGCTTTTGACAAGAATGTGATGCAGATAGCTTCCTGGGAGAGCAAGGACAGGGCCCTTTTGGGTCGGTTTAGGAGATATGAGATACAGTAGTTGTAGTAGTCCCCTCTAGAACTACCAATTAATTATTTTTTGAGGCTAAGCAGTGAGTATTGGAATAAAATGAAGCTGCTTGGATGGTGTGTTGGTTTTTGGTCACTCTCTGGGTTGGAGGAGGCAGCAAAGCACTAAGGCAAAGCTGCTGTAGCTATAGTTGTTGAATTAGGGGTCCTTGAAAGCTAAAATAGGACATATCAGCAATGAGGATGCAAAGCTTTAGGTAGACTAAATATATTATAAGCTCATTGGTTGAGTGGGCAGCCACTTGAAATTAAATATAAATGCAAAGTCTGTCTTATTGGTGCAGAGTTGTTCTCTGTGCCTTTTAGTTGTTCTCTTCCTTCTTCTTCTATAACCTCAGCTGCTTAAGATAGAAGTGCAGTATGGAAGGGTACCTTGAGGAGGGGTTTGTAGCTCTATTGGATACAGATGCCCAAGCCACCCTCTTACCCTGTCCTGTCGGAAGGAAGCACGGTAGGTGGCAAAGGAGGCTAAAGGTGCTGAGGGTTGCCTGGTAGAACTCTAGCAGCCCATGCAGAGACAAATTAGAGATCTCTGAGGCCCAGGCACTTCCAGGAGCTCTGGGTACACTGGGGGACTCTGCATCATCCTGGAGACGTCAGAACAGAAGAAAAACCTTCCCGGCCGGCGCCGCGGCTCACTAGGCTAATCCTCCGCCTAGCGGCGCCGGCACACTGGGTTCTAGTCCTGGTCGGGGCGCCGGATTCTGTCCCGGTTGCCCCCCTTCCAGGCCAGCCCTCTGCTGTGGCCAGGGAGTGCAGTGGAGGATGGCCCAGGTGCTTGGGCCCTGCACCCCATGGGAGACCAGGAAAAGCACCTGGCTCCTGGCTCCTGCCATCGGATCAGCGCGGCGCGCCGGCCGCAGCGCGCTGGCCGCGGCGGCCATTGGAGGGTGAACCAACGGCAAAAGGAAGACCTTCTCTCTGTCTCTCTCTCTCACTGGTCCCACCTC